TCCCTCCAAATTTAATTTTGTTTTGATTTAAACCCTAAAACACAGAAGCGTGTCATTTACCTTCTCAACTGACATTTGAATCCTTCCTTCTGATATCCAATGATCAATACCCTTCTATGCATACAAATGGCCTCTAGTTCATCTCAAAGGAAGAGAGTGAAGACATTAGGCCACAAGAATATGAGTAGAGGATCAACTTTGTAAGGATGAATTAGCGATGATGAAGCTCAATTGACATTTCTTGATTGCTGGAAAATGAGGAAACTGACTACGCACAAATTCCAGAAGCTCAGTTTCTGTAGGAACGAAGGCTTTCAATTTCAAGGCTGGCTGAAACGCCAAGGGTTGATGAACTTTGTTGAGATGGCTAATATGTGGTATCCAGAACTGGTAATAGTGTTTTAATGCAATCTAAGAATTAGTGAAGGGACCTTATGCTCAAGAGTTAAAGGAATAGACGTCAAACTTATAAATGAAATATGGACTGATATAGCTCGTCTCAAAACAGGTGGTGAAAGATTTCATCTAGGCATGGATGAATTTCATAAGTTCTCTATAACAGGACAGTTTGAGAAATCCTGAAGATGTTCGTGATTACTATCACTACAAAACTAGAGGAATGAAGAAGGATGACCGACTAGTTGTTTTTATTATCTCTGGGATATTAATGCCTAGAGGATGCAATCATGCACAGGCCACCACGGAAGATCTGTACCTGCTAAGAAAGCATTCAAAGAAAATATCTAGGTAGACTGGCCTGCAGCTATTTCAGACAACATGTTGAAAGTAACCAGACTGGAATCAGCAACACTGCCTTATTCTGTATTCATTTCTAAGATTCTTATTCATTTTGGAGTGGACTGTATTGATGAATCAAGCGAAACATACAACAAAAACAACTTGATTAAGGAGTCAACTCTGCATAAAATGGGCATGAAGCATACGTCAGATGGTTGGATATTAAAAAATGAGGCCACTGAAGAAGACAAAGAAACAAAAGGATCATCTTCTATTCAATACAGGGCTAAGTTGGAGTTTGAAAGAACAATACTGAGAGAAATAAAGTCTCTCAAGATTATGTGTTAGAGAACTAGAGATGATATTGCTGAAATAAAATAACATCTAAATTTGGAAATTCATAATGAAGAGATTGCAGCTGAAGAAGAATCAGGTGGGGAAGGTGTTAACACTTCGGCAAGTGTACCGAATCGTATCAAGTAATAATAAATGGTAACACCAAGTATCGTTTCCCTAGAGACTCACAGCCTAGACATTCATGTGGTTTCTTGATTAATTAAGACTTGTAAACAAAATCATAGTGTTTATAATGCAGAAAATAAATATGAATGCAAGTGTTGATCAATTGACTTGAAGAATGCACACGTGATTGATATAAAATATGGAATGATTTTGTTGTTGGGGTTTTTGACTTATCCTATCCACTCTCATGTATTTTTGAATTCATCTTCTTCATTAATGTTAATGCCACTTTCTAATTTACCTTAAACCCGATGTCTCGGTGAAGAAAGCATACTCTTAATTACTAGTTCACAATGTCTTGTATCCCCAACAATTAATTATGCATTACATTCGCATAGAAGCTTAAAGGCAACCAACCCTCCTATTCCTATGTCTAGGTAATATTTCTTTTGGAAGAATTTCCCCAATTCTAGATTTTCCCATATGTGTCCATATTGACAAAATCAATAATCATGCAATTGAATGAGTTAAACAAATCATGCATAGAGTGTAGAGGAAAAACCCTAACAATTAATGAAGTAAAGCATTTATAATTTAAATCAATTCAATACATGAGAATTTCAAAGGATTACCTCGTTTCCCCAACAACAATGGAGGTTTAGTTCACCATAGACATGGTGAAACTAGATGAAAATATGGAAAAGAATGAAAGATAAAACCCTAAAAGTTGAACATCGGAGCTTCCGCATCCAAAATCCGCCTTCGAGGGGTGAAATGAGTGTGTTTTCGCCTCTTTCTGTCAAAAGATATGAACCCTATAACGTCCAAAACCTTGAATAGTTCATTAAAAATACAGAAAAATAGCCCAGGCCCACGTCGTCAGCGCTCAACGTCCAAAAAGGGCGCTCAACGGTAGTTGCGACACTCTTTTGACCCCCAGCGGTGTCGCCCAAGCGTGAAACAGTGCTTTCAAAACCGAACTGGCGCTTAGTGGTGGCCCCCAAGCGTGAAACAGTGCTTTCATAACTAAGTTTGCGCTCAGCGGTGGCGCCGAGGCGTGAAATAATGGTTCTTCTTTGTGCCACTTTTCCAGCCTTTCATGACTCCAGCTCCTTGCTACTTCAACTTCTTCATCCAATTCATCTTAATTCCTGTCAAAACAAGGAAAAATAACNTTGACTTATCCTATCCACTCTCATGTATTTTTGAATTCATCTTCTTCATTAATGTTAATGCCACTTTCTAATTTACCTTAAACCCGATGTCTCGGTGAAGAAAGCATACTCTTAATTACTAGTTCACAATGTCTTGTATCCCCAACAATTAATTATGCATTACATTCGCATAGAAGCTTAAAGGCAACCAACCCTCCTATTCCTATGTCTAGGTAATATTTCTTTTGGAAGAATTTCCCCAATTCTAGATTTTCCCATATGTGTCCATATTGACAAAATCAATAATCATGCAATTGAATGAGTTAAACAAATCATGCATAGAGTGTAGAGGAAAAACCCTAACAATTAATGAAGTAAAGCATTTATAATTTAAATCAATTCAATACATGAGAATTTCAAAGGATTACCTCGTTTCCCCAACAACAATGGAGGTTTAGTTCACCATAGACATGGTGAAACTAGATGAAAATATGGAAAAGAATGAAAGATAAAACCCTAAAAGTTGAACATCGGAGCTTCCGCATCCAAAATCCGCCTTCGAGGGGTGAAATGAGTGTGTTTTCGCCTCTTTCTGTCAAAAGATATGAACCCTATAACGTCCAAAACCTTGAATAGTTCATTAAAAATACAGAAAAATAGCCCAGGCCCACGTCGTCAGCGCTCAACGTCCAAAAAGGGCGCTCAACGGTAGTTGCGACACTCTTTTGACCCCCAGCGGTGTCGCCCAAGCGTGAAACAGTGCTTTCAAAACCGAACTGGCGCTTAGTGGTGGCCCCCAAGCGTGAAACAGTGCTTTCATAACTAAGTTTGCGCTCAGCGGTGGCGCCGAGGCGTGAAATAATGGTTCTTCTTTGTGCCACTTTTCCAGCCTTTCATGACTCCAGCTCCTTGCTACTTCAACTTCTTCATCCAATTCATCTTAATTCCTGTCAAAACAAGGAAAAATAACTTAAGAAAAAGCATGATTTCAAGCTAGTTTCTAAGTCATAAGGGGTGTTTTTAGTATCAAAATTAAGTATAAAAATAACGGTTTTTCAACCGTTATCACAACCCCAAACTTAGAACTTTGCTTGTCCTCAAGCAAACAAGATATAACTCAGTCTTCCATCAATCAATACAATGGTTCAACACATTCAAAATCTCTTTCTTCCAAGACAAGTAATTGCTCAAATCAACTTATCAAACAAAATTCAGTCAAGATGTGCACATGCTTTGATTAAAAATCACTCATCATGATGTTCACATAATCACCCACTATACAACAGATGCTATTCTCATGAATGATCAATTAACTAAGCATAGATGTAATCATGTGTTCATGGAAATCTTCCTTACCAGACAAACAATTTCACTCAATCACACAGGTGTATATAGAGATCACTCCTTCACTCTACTATCCCAATGTCACATAGAAGAAAATTGCCTTTCATTTCACACAGTCAATCATACTCACAGACAAGTATCGTCCCAAGGAATTTTCATGGCTTGTAATCTGGTAGGGCTAAGAAGGAAAATTGGTTTTCCAAGATCACAAAATCCTTGAGTTAAGAGAGTCATTCATAAATTTATCATTCAAATACAATCTCTCTTTAGAAAAACCAATCTCACTCATACACAACTTTCCCCTTTTTACATTGAGCTTTTCTTTCTTTGAATTATATTTTCTTTTCTCTTTTTCATACTTGCTCAACACTTAGCTCAATGCTTTCATTACTTTCCTTTTCAATTCTCCCAATCAACCTCAAACTTGAACCTTTATCAATACCACACAAAATATTCTCAACTTAACTCAAGGTAAAGATTTTCAAAAAGGGTTTTCTTTCATGATTTAAAGTTAAAGGTTCAAAGGGTAGAACACATTGCGCTCTCTTTTATTGGGCTAAAAATCATGCATTGGCTAGAAAGGGATAACAACAGATGGCCTTGATCATATGACACATACAAGCGAGTGATTCAATCATAGAAACCTGGGCAAAGTCATTCATGCTTTCAAAGTAATAACAATCATTCACACAAACTCTAGAGTCCAATCCTCACATAGGCTAATTCAAGTTCCAACATTCGGACAAACATCCTGCTCAGTAACACAATCACAAATCATCATGCATCTGTTTCAAAATATTATGACCAACCACCTGTATCTCAACATCACACATCATCTCAACATCAATCAATATAATCAACATCATAGAGCAATACTCATCACAAACATCATAGCATCATCAAACCATTGCATCACATATTAAGTTTTAAGCCAAGTACATCACACAACAGAAGCAAATATAGTTCAGCAAAATGTAAAAGACAAGTTTAGAAAACTGGGTTGCCTCCCAGCAAGCGCTTCTTTAACATCACTAGCTTGACCCAATAAAGCTCAAGTTTGATTTTCAATGTTGATGTGCTTCTTCCTTTCATGACACCAACATAATCTCAGCATCTTTCTTGTCACCAACTAGACTCTCCTAGAGTAATGAGCCTCAATCTCAAGAACTCCATTTGCCTTTATATCCTTGATAACCCATAACTTGTTCTTGAATTTCACTGGTTTGCCAAGATAGGGTTCATTATTTTCCATCATAGAGTCATGGTGAACGGGTTTTTCTTCCTTATCTCCATCATCTTCCTTCAGCCTTGGAAAGTAACAACTATGATTCCTCTTGACCATCTTGACAACTTTATCAGGTGACTAGTCACTGATAGAACTTCGTCTTTAGCTTTAGGACTAGTCTTTGTTACTTGTATTGGCTGCCCAACTTCAAAGACATTGAAAGTCACCTCTTCATCTTGGTCTTTCAACGTTATAACTTCATCATCCACATGAATGACAACCTTAGTTGTCTTCATGAATGACCTTCCAAGGATGAGCGGTATCTCTACATTCTCCTCCATCTCCATCACTACAAAGTCCACAAAAAATTTGAGTTTATATATTTTCACCACCACGTCTTCTACCACACCATAAGGATGCTTAATGGACATGTTTGCCATTTGCAAGATTGCTTTTGTAGGTTTGACCTCCAGACCACCAATCTTCTTAAGCATAAATAAGGGCATTAGATTGATACTAGCTCCTAACTCAACTAGAGCCTTCCCTATATCATGATTCCCAATGGTGCAAGGGATGATGAAACTCCTTGGATCTTTGAATTTAGGAGGTAGTGTCTTCTGCAATATGGCATTGCAATTACCCTGCACTTCAATTTTTTCCTCATCTATATATTTCTTCTCTTTGAGGAATTGCTTCATGTGCTTCGCATCAGCGGTGGCGCCCAAGCGTGAAATAGTGCTTTCAGAACTAAGTTGGCGCTCAACGGTGGCGCCTAGGCGTGAAATAGTGGTTGCACTTCTAGACTGACGCTCAGCGATGGTGCCCAGGCGTGAAACAATTGTTCTTCTTTGTGCCACTTTTCTAACCTTTCATGACTCCAGCTCCTTGCTACTTCAATTTCTTCATCCAATTCATCTTAATTCCTATCAAAACAAGGAAAAATAAGCATAAAACCCATTCAACTCTCTTATTCTCACAACTTAAGCAAAAGCAAGATTTCAAGCTAGTTTCTAATTCATAAAGGGTGTTTTTAGTATCAAAATTAAGTATAAATATAATGGTTTTTCAACCGTTATCAGATGGTAGAACACTTGGAGTAAGTACTGAAAAAGAATTGCAGGAAGAGGAAAATATGGATGAAGATGTCGTTGATGAATGTAATAGTGACATGCCTCTCGGAACCTATTTGAAGAAGAAAAATAAGAAAAAGAATATAGAATTTAATCAATCAGTAGTTCTTATTTTAGGTGTTTTGTATTGTTTTGTTTTGCTAGTTGTATGTGCATGTTATATTTTGGCTTTATCTCATTGTATTTCAAAGTTTGATATTAATGAAATCAGAAGTTATAAAATCGATTACACTGTGCTTGTATTGCGAATGAATTATTGATTATTGTTACTCTTGTACATTTGCATACTACACATTAATTCTTGTATAACATTGATTTTAAAATGCTTGATCTGGAACGACTTGGAAAGGTTTTACAAGAATATCACTTGTTGACTGGATGAAATTGGATAATCTGGAATTTGCTACAATAAGAAATCGACTCTGACTAAGATCAAATCGATTAAACATCAACAAGAGTTTAAAGATTCCAAAACTAGAAATTTGATGTGTTTTAAATCTTGTTTTGTTTGATATTGATTGTTTATTCTTATATCTCTATGCTTATCAACTGCATAAAATATCTAAGATAATAAGAGATTAAAATGTGTTGTTTGATTGAATCAATATTATTATGATATTACTGTGATATATCTGATATGATACAATGTTAATACATGCTGATAAATGCTCTGCCATATTGTGATTACTCCATTATGCATCTGTATTTTGAGATTGAAATATGCATAATGACAGGGGGAGCATTGCATATCACTGATATATTTCACATGTCTTCATTTAAGGAGAAGAATATCTTAATTTCATGTGAATATTTTGACAGGGGGAGCATCATTACGTGTTTTATGATTATCTGATGCATCTCTATATGCTTGATTATCTGTATATCAATACCATTGTGCTTACCTTTTTTGCTAATGCCCAAAGGGGGAGAATTATGTTAATTGGTAATTGATTGATAATCTGTATTGGGTTATGCATCATGGTTGATTATTAATCATGGTTATGCATCATAAAAAAAGGGGGAGATTGCTGATAGGGGGAGCACTGGTTTAGCTGAACCCACAATCTCAGTAATATCTGAATTTTTGATTATGACAACACATAATTAATAACACATGTGTATTTTGTGTTACATGTTCTATTCTTACATGTTATATGAGTATATGAGAACATGATTATGTTGTTTGTGTTGTTCATTGCATTTCACTATGTTATATATGTGATTTTATACATGAATGCATGACACGTTTTTTTGGATGGAAAAACCACAAGAACTAATGTTGAACTTTAAACGTGTGGCAAAACAACAGTTTGAAATCGATTACATTATGGGGTGAATCGATTAAAACTCGTGTATTTGGACAAACTTTTTCAAGCGTGTTGTGAGAGTTTTTCAAAGAGAAAAGTTTTCAAAACTTTGCATAGCACTGTTGCATAATCGATTGCATGCGATATGTATTCGATTAAGTTTATTACTATTTTGAAATCTGTTAATGCTTGATATAACTGTCACAACGACTATATTTTTAAATGTGTTGACCAAGCATTAAATGTTATTCGACTGCATTAATTGTGAATTCAATTAATTTCTTTCACTATGATAGGTTGTCGTTGAAGCTATCAAATTAATACTACTTTTCAAGGCAACTTCAGTATTGCCAAGTAGTTCAAGAAGGTAGATAGGGCTAAAGTAACCCTAAGTCGTCTCCCAACGAACACGGAATTGCTTTTGAATATCTGACTCTTACGAAGGCTATGCAATGCTTACGGATAAAAGTAATGTTTGGAGAATGTTTACAGAACAAATAACAAACTTAAAAACAGTTACGATGAAATAGGCTAATTCCACTGCATTTCCAAGATAGATTCATCATCGGTTATTCACGGATAATTGTTCAATTGATTATTATTCAAGTTTCAAATTAATTAAAGTACATTCTTAATTAATTTGAGGGCGATCATGCATTTAACCAAAGTAAATTCTCAATCAAATGCAAAACCTTTCTAGATTATTCACAATAAATTCAACTAAAGTACATTCTCAATCAAATTTTATTGTGTTTAATCATGTTTATTCTTAAATCTTCTAACCAAATTAAAAGCTAATCAATCAAAGTAAATTCTCAATTGATTATAGTTGAAATTATTACTAATCAACCAAAGTACATTCTCAATTGATAGTAATAATTTCAATTATAATCAATTGAGAATTTACTTTGATTGATTAGCTTTTAATTTGGTTAGAAGATTTAAGAATAGACATGATTTAACACAATAAAATTTGATTGAGAATGTACTTTAGTTGAATTTATTGTGAGTAATTGATAACAGTTGAAAAACTGTTATTTTCATGCTTAAAGTTGATACTAAAAGCAACCTTTGGACTTAGAAACTAGCTTGAAATCATGCCTTTTGTTTATATTTTCAGAAATAAGAGAGCTGGACAGGTTTATGCTTGATTTGAGTGTTTTTGTGCAGGTTTTGAGGTGAATTTGGTGAAAGAAGTGAAGAATGAGAGAGAGGACATTAGAAAAGACAAGAAAGAGTGCAAAAAGGAGAAGTCGAAGGCACCGCTCAGCGGCAAACTACCGCTGAGCGGCACTCAAGAGGTGGCGTTGGAACCGCTGAGGGGCAAATGGCCGCTGAGGGGAAGAAAGAAGACGCGTAACCACCGCTGAGCGGTAAATGGCGCTGAGCGGCACTTTTTGGGCTTGGNCTTGAATTTCACTGGTTTGCCAAGATAGGGTTCATTATTTTCCATCATAGAGTCATGGTGAACGGGTTTTTCTTCCTTATCTCCATCATCTTCCTTCAGCCTTGGAAAGTAACAACTATGATTCCTCTTGACCATCTTGACAACTTTATCAGGTGACTAGTCACTGATAGAACTTCGTCTTTAGCTTTAGGACTAGTCTTTGTTACTTGTATTGGCTGCCCAACTTCAAAGACATTGAAAGTCACCTCTTCATCTTGGTCTTTCAACGTTATAACTTCATCATCCACATGAATGACAACCTTAGTTGTCTTCATGAATGACCTTCCAAGGATGAGCGGTATCTCTACATTCTCCTCCATCTCCATCACTACAAAGTCCACAAAAAATTTGAGTTTATATATTTTCACCACCACGTCTTCTACCACACCATAAGGATGCTTAATGGACATGTTTGCCATTTGCAAGATTGCTTTTGTAGGTTTGACCTCCAGACCACCAATCTTCTTAAGCATAAATAAGGGCATTAGATTGATACTAGCTCCTAACTCAACTAGAGCCTTCCCTATATCATGATTCCCAATGGTGCAAGGGATGATGAAACTCCTTGGATCTTTGAATTTAGGAGGTAGTGTCTTCTGCAATATGGCATTGCAATTACCCTGCACTTCAATTTTTTCCTCATCTATATATTTCTTCTCTTTGAGGAATTGCTTCATGTGCTTCGCATCAGCGGTGGCGCCCAAGCGTGAAATAGTGCTTTCAGAACTAAGTTGGCGCTCAACGGTGGCGCCTAGGCGTGAAATAGTGGTTGCACTTCTAGACTGACGCTCAGCGATGGTGCCCAGGCGTGAAACAATTGTTCTTCTTTGTGCCACTTTTCTAACCTTTCATGACTCCAGCTCCTTGCTACTTCAATTTCTTCATCCAATTCATCTTAATTCCTATCAAAACAAGGAAAAATAAGCATAAAACCCATTCAACTCTCTTATTCTCACAACTTAAGCAAAAGCAAGATTTCAAGCTAGTTTCTAATTCATAAAGGGTGTTTTTAGTATCAAAATTAAGTATAAATATAATGGTTTTTCAACCGTTATCAGATGGTAGAACACTTGGAGTAAGTACTGAAAAAGAATTGCAGGAAGAGGAAAATATGGATGAAGATGTAGTTGATGAATGTAATAGTGACATGCCTCTCGGAACCTATTTGAAGAAGAAAAATAAGAAAAAGAATATAGAATTTAATCAATCAGTAGTTCTTATTTTAGGTGTTTTGTATTGTTTTGTTTTGCTAGTTGTATGTGCATGTTATATTTTGGCTTTATCTCATTGTATTTCAAAGTTTGATATTAATGAAATCAGAAGTTATAAAATCGATTACAATGTGCTTGTATTGCGAATGAATTATTGATTATTGTTACTCTTGTACATTTGCATACTACACATTAATTCTTGTATAACATTGATTTTAAAATGCTTGATCTGGAACGACTTGGAAAGGTTTTACAAGAATATCACTTGTTGACTGGATGAAATTGGATAATCTGGAATTTGCTACAATAAGAAATCGACTCTGACTAAGATCAAATCGATTAAACATCAACAAGAGTTTAAAGATTCCAAAACTAGAAATTTGATGTGTTTTAAATCTTGTTTTGTTTGATATTGATTGTTTATTCTTATATCTCTATGCTTATCAACTGCATAAAATATCTAAGATAATAAGAGATTAAAATGTGTTGTTTGATTGAATCAATATTATTATGATATTACTGTGATATATCTGATATGATACAATGTTAATACATGCTGATAAATGCTCTGCCATATTGTGATTACTCCATTATGCATCTGTA